AAAGCGAGTGCGTTTGGACATCGTGTAAGGCACGATGTCCGACACGGAATTTAGAAGAAATAAGTTCTCGCTGTTTTTGTTTCTTTCGATAGTGCGTTTTGATTAGATTTTCTTTTTTTTTTTTTTTTTGGTACTCGAAGCATTCTTTTGGGGTCGTGGCTTTCTGATGTTGCTCCCAGCGACGGGACTGGTGTGCGTCGCTGTGCTGCTAGGCGCTAATGGAAATTCAGTGATTCGATTGGCGGGGTCAGGACGGCGGGTTCGTTTCAGCTGTTCTGCTCGGCTTGGGGGCGTGACTTGTTCTACTGGAAATAGAGAGCCCGTTGAAATGGAATTTTCGGGGTTGGGGGTTCCAAAAGAGGGGGAAAAGCAAAGCTCCCCGCTTCTTTGTCTCTCTCTCTCTCTCTCTTTTTTTTTTAGATGTAGAGAGGAACTGTGTCGGGGTTGTTCGGGCCTCTCACCGCACCAAATCGAATTCGTGCCCGCTGACAAGCGAAGGAACTTGTTCCCGCGTAATGCTCATCAAATAGCCGGGTCTGAGTAGGAAGGAAACGAGTTTCGAGTTTCTCGTTTTCGGTTTGAAAATATTTGGACGAGGTGCTTTTAGGCGGGAGCACGTCGACGAAGAGACGCGACAACCGAATCTTTTGGTTCGCTCCTGGCTCCCGGCAAAATACTCTTATCTTTTAGTTAAGCGAGGGCATAGCGGGGACGTGGGACAAGTAGCTGCGTTTCCCGTAATTTCTTTTCTTTTTTTGTAATGTAATAACATTATAAAACCGTAACCTATAGTACCGCCAAAAACCATTCACCAATGCAAAGCGAACATATTTTTATGGCGATTCAAGCGATCTTCATAGGGCAGCTTGTTTTCATGTCTTTTTCTTTTATTGCAGGTGAACAAAGTTGACCCCCCCCCCCCCCCCCCCCTATGCCGCCTCCATCGCTGCCATCTCAGATGCCACAAATTTTAAGAACACGACAACAAATCCCATCTGTTATAACCACTCTTCTCTGTAATACGCTTAAACCTTGAAAGTATAAAAAAAAGAAAAAAAAAAACCTGAAGTGCAGGCTTTGTGTACAAAACCGAGGCGAAGCGTCTGCGCATGCGCAATGCCGACAGCAGCGCCACCGCAGGAGCGTGACGTCAAATAGTGGAGTTGGTCTATGCACGATACATAACAAGCGAAACGATTGCAGAAGTTATGCCTTTAGTGGTTTACTATACACGTTTTCACCACAGAAAAGAGAAAAAAAAAAAAAAAATTTGCGTATTGTTTATACGCCGCGCGAAGTATTCTTACAATATTTGGTTGTTGAGAAAGAAGCGATGCTTTTGGCGTTTCAAACGTGTGTATACACGTATTAATACACAGTTTTAACATAGCGTTCCTGGCTCTGACGTACGCAATACGCAATAGTATATAGTGTAAGCTAAAAACTACCTGCTCGAACCGATTTTAGTTGTGCGTTCCCTAAACTTTGCCGAGTAAACATCTTGCATAATCTTCTCGATTTAATTTGCCAGAGCGGTAATATTCCGCGTGCTTACAGCACCACCCATGCTCCTCAAAATAAATATAAAACAGAAAAACGTTTCCAATCATTTTATTTCAAATTAAGCCAAGCCGCACCTGTCCGGTCAAGCGCGCTTTTCTGCGGGGTAAGGAGGCTACCAGTACGACTGCGTAGCGAAATTCGATCACGGAGCCTTTGTCGATCGTCCCGCACCTTTTATCAATGCTAGCGCGGGAAGAGATCTATAACCTACTGATATCCAGTGCGTGTCGACGACCCCGCGTAATTTCACGTGACACTAGAACTTCGCGAACACCATGCATGTCACCCATGCCTCGCCAGTCGAGGTAACCGCCATCTTGAAACTGGTCTTCCCGCTGTGCCCGAGATCTCTCGAGAGCTTCCCGCAAAGCCCGCTATCCCGAAGTGCAATATCCCCAGCTGTTGCGTGCGCACGCAGTGCGCTAGCCCTTACATTGCGCTCTGCGCAGGCGTACTCCCGACCCGCAAATTGCTTGCGACGGTCCACTAAAATTGTCTCATCAGATAGTAAATATCTAATCTAGAATGAACCTACGTATAACTTAATTCTCTGTATAAACAAAAAAATTTGTAATGCACCGCAAAAAATCTGACTTTTTTTTTTTTAGAGCGCAGTTTTTAGGCGCTTGTTTTCGCGTATAGCGGCGAGTTGCCGTCGCCGTCGGCGGAACCGGCCCTCTGAATTTAGCGACAAATTGAATTGGTTTCGAGTTCACGTGACGTCAATTTTCCAGCTAAATCTAGAGGAGAAACTAAATTTGTTAATGGTGACGTGACACGAAGCCACGTAACGTCATTTTCCCGCCAAATTTAGCGGAGAAGCCAAATCGGTGTTAAGGTCACGTGGCGTCAATTTCCCAGCTAAATTTAGTGGGGAAACTGTGGGAGGAAAGGAGGGTAGGGAAGAAAAAGAGGGTGGGGTACGGAGGAGGGGGGGGGGGGAGCAGGAGTAGAGGAGAGCAGCAGAGGAAGAGGAGAGGAGGTACGGAGGAAGAGAAGGGGCATGCCCTCCCCTCCGTACCCTCCCCCCTCCTCTTCAAGAGCTGCGCTCTAATTTCGCATTACAGAGATTTGTAAACGTTGGCCTCAGTCATGTTTACTTTTAAGGAACAGTGTATACTAATCTCGTGGCGTGCAGGTTTCGTCATTTATATTTTTTCGTTTTTTCCCTTCGCAATCAGGAAATAGAAACAGGCAATTCGGGACGATTCCCGGCGACCCGCCGGACCAATTTCGATTAGCAGGCATTACGCAATTACCCGGAACGACCGGGGAACCTATAGAAGCGTACACGCGAGCTCGCTCGTATAACTCAGTGCGCCAATAACGAACAACTGCCTATCCAGCAAGAGGTTCGCGAAACGAGCAAACAAACCAACAAACCGTTCTACCCCTCCCGCGCGAAGCACCAACAAAATTCTCGGGGGGAGGGGGGGGGGGGGGGGGGGGACGGGGACAGCCAGCACCCTACACCCTTACCTACGAACCTAAGTATATACCCCTACCTATGCTCCGTTTCAACCCTTACGATGGAGCGTAGCGGACCAGGCCAGCCGTCCCAGCCCATCCAGCGTTGCCAATGTACCACGTGACCGCGAGCGCACCGTAATTGCGGCACTCCCGAAGATCACGTGACGCAGCACCGGGTTGGTGCTTCGATGGCTCGTAGCCTCCCCTGCGGTCCGTGGTAAGGTGAACCGGAGTATAGACAGCGGAACCGGAAGTGATCGGCGCCAAACGAATTCTCCGGGGGTGGTTGGGAAAAAGACCCCAACTCCTGCCGAACCAATATTATTTTCTTTTTCTTCGTCCCGTTCATGCATTGTCGTTGGGGCGTATGTGTGTCCTTAATTCGATTCTGGGCAGGAGTTATGGCTCATGTCTGGCTTCTCAGGAAGAGTGATGCCGCTGGCGAAGCTGTCCGGGATTTGGTGGCGGGGTAAAGAAGAGGGGACATCCGGACAACCAAATCAAATTATCGGAAGCTCGCAGAACGGGACAGGCGGCGGTGGAGCCGTCGAGGGGTGCTCGTTGGGGTATCGCCGGCGTCGGGCGACGCGAATCTTTTGGGGTTCAAAAACGCAAATGGACTGAAGAGGAAGCGAAGGAGAAAAGTTTGGGGTTTGTTAGCTGGTGTCGTCCGGTTGAAAAGAGGGGTCGTTCTCGAGTGTTTGAATGGACTCTGCCTCGGCACTGATGGTTCTCTTGCATTGTGAGTTTGTACGAAAGTTTGATGGAGTGCATGGGTTCTTCACTATGAAGGAGTTATGGTCTTGTTCGGACTAATGGTCGGCTCACTCTTGTCGTATAGATCCGGTAAAACTATTTGTCGGGGACAGGTTAACAATACATGCAGATGTTCCACCCCCAGCGCGAGCTTTGTGCCTTTCATAGAACTTCGTCGCACGCGGATTGAAAACTCAGCGAAAGGGAACGAACACGTACTGTAGGGGAACTTCCACTCCATTCTTTGTCTGTCACAAATTTCAAGTTGTTGGCAGCTCTATAGCACTTCAACCCAGGACTGAAAACAAAAACAACAGCAGGAGTGTTTTCAAAGTGTAGGCACAATTGGTGAAGAGATAACTAATGGTAGGCTTCCACGAGTCTTGCATGGAGGGAACACTCTAGTCCCTAAAGTCACGGTTTCCCCTCTCCCCCCCCCCCCCCCCCCTACGACTCAATACCAATCAGCGTCCAGCCTCACGGCCACGCTTTTATCCAGGCTTCACTTTTGGTGTTCACGAAATGCCGAACACCTAGCCAAAGAAAGTTGCACGTTAAAACAAGAGAACAGAAATTTGTTGTCTGTTTCTTTTTTTATATTTTTCCTTTTTCCACAGTTATTTTTCGACAATATATGTCGCCGTCCGCTTCGCACGCTCTGGGTTATTACCACGCGTCTCTTTTGACCTGAAACTTTCTCTGCATCGTTGGCACCGCCGATTATCTCGATGCCGATTGGCTGATTGATTTGGCCGCAGCACCTCCTATACCATAGTTCACTGACAGCTTAAGTCACAGAGTGTGGATTATTATGATCTCGCTTCATGAATCCCTCGTCGTCGTTCTTATCGGAAAATACCTGAATCTAACTGGACTGCGGAGCGATAATAGGATCCTCAGGACAGTCTGCATGGACAATCTCGCAGGCACGTTTCTTCATTGTATGGTGGCACTGTCACATCGGTCGTAAAAAAAGTCTTGTTAGACATATTCGAAACACACACATGTATCAAGCAATGACACTTGGAACGAGCTTGAGGTGTGTCCCCGGATAAACATCTCATCATGTCCACATAGAAACTCCGCGTTGGTTTGTAGGATGTAAACATATAGCAGGGCCATTGCAGCTTTAAGCTGCACACTGGTAGTCGCCTTCTAAATCGGACATAACTATAGACGTCTAAACTGCGCACCCCCTTTGGGCGCCTCACCTGGCTTGTACGCGCAGGTGTTGTCGAAGTAGCTGACGGACGGGTCGGCCCTCTTGAAGTGGATGTGCCTGGAGAAGCGATCGTAGCGGCTCAGTCGGCACTCGCGCGCGTTCTCGTCGTACTCGGCGGACCGGCAGACGAAGCTCGTCTCGGTCGAGCAGGCTTCCAGGCAGGCATGCTTGGACACCTTGTGCAGCATCCGGTTGTCGTGGCCTTCCAGTTCCATCCCCTGAATCCACTCGACCACAAACAGCCGGTCGCAGGCGCCTGCGAGAAAGAGAACCACCGGATGAGGAACGTTTAAGGTCGCGGTGTTGCCCGCAGTCTGACCGCGTCTTGATTGGTCTGTACGGGCTGCGATAGAGAAAATGGTGCCCGGTTGTACTGCCCGCGTAAATAATCTCTACGAATCGTAGAACTCCAAGTAAATTTGATTAATTAACTTGCCTTTCACTGAGATTCAGCGCATTGCCTTCCTTTGTAACCGCTTAAGACGTGAGAGAGTCCGTATTACAGAGAGTTTCCAGCTGCTCGATCGGGGTCAGGTGGTTTGTGGGCCGCGTTTGCAATACGAGCTGCGAAGAGGCGATGAACGCGTTGGTCGTCTGCGAACACCTCCGCCTTTCCGCCTGCTTTCCTCCTTGCCACGCCAAAACGCAGCACATGCGCACTTGCGACAAATCTCCGCCGTAGGTGTCCGCCATTAAATTGCAAACGCTCCCCCGTGATTTGAGGTGAAGCCTCTCTTCAATCTAGGCTCTCTGCTTAATACGCTAGTACGCTGGTGCCTTCTATCGCTGGTTGCAAAAGGCGCCGAAGAAGATGTGGACCATAGACAAGTTGGAGAAGACAAAAAGCGCACTAAAGTAGAGTTCCTGTAATTTACAGCGGCATTTTGTTTAATCGGAGTTTCGTCTCTGTCCGTCCTTTTTTGTAAACATGTAGCGAGGGGACAAAATGTTATTTGATCAGGGTACCTCCCTGATCACATAACATTTTGTATTCGGATTTCTGCTGATGACTGCGTAATATAGTGTTCTGTATCTAACACGAAAAGTCAGATATCACAACAAGCTGACCTTTAACATAATAGCTGACTGGTGTCGAAAGTGGAAAATGACAATTAGCTATTTCTAAAACACAGCTCGTCTCTTTCAAGCGTGCTCGTAGTCCTCTCTGTTTTACTTGTGCAATGTGCAGGCAGCGCGTTACCAAGTGTCCGTCATACAAGTACCACGGCGGTCACTTATTTAGCGACCTTTCATGGAATACTCACATAATCCGTATCTTGTCAGCTCTAACCACCCTCTTGACTATGTTCGACGTCATTTAGTACTAGTACCGTCGTCACTGAAACAACTGGCCTAGACTCCACCAGTAAGGTCGCAACTGGAATATGCGTCAACCGTTGGGTGCTACTGGCAACATTCACCGGTAACAAGCGTGAAGGCCGTTCGAAATCGCGCCTATCAGATTCATATTTTCACACAACCCTCCAGACTCCCAGTATAACTTCCCTGAAATAAAATTTAACCTCGATTCTTTTTCATTTAGGATAACATAATCACGCCTGTCCATTTTTCACAAGATATATTATCATAATCATGATATCATAACTTCATTGTCATACCCACCCACTCCATATTTGCTCGACACTGAGGACTCGTCTAAAGTTCGGCTAATTTTCGCTTAAACAGTCTCCTTTCTTAACTCCACCTTCCATTAACAATAGCGGACTGGAATAACCTAACTAGCAGTATTGTGACCTTGACAGATCATACCGCATTATTTTCACAGTTAACAGCTTATTTGAAGTTGCACTAATAGTAAACACTTAATTAGTATAAATATTTCATTTCCAATGTATTCCGTCCAAAAACTCAGGTTTTCAATTTGCTTGAGTGCGCATTTTTTTTCTCACTTATGTAAACACACTTTGCAGCATCCCATCTCCCCTTGTGTAATGCCCGCAAGGGACTTCAAGGAGTAATGAATAAATTATGACAATTATCTATCGGGTAGGCCTTAATACACTTCCAACCTGTGTATAAACCAGAGTCCAAACTCCCAGCCCCGGGCTATAAAAATGGGAAATAGTAATCTCAAACGCAGGGTCCTGTGAAGAGAGGGGCTTTGGATAAAACAACATTTTTGCTTTTTACGGCACTCTTGGCATCGGTGTTGTTCTTGGAGCTTCGGGACTATGCATTTCTGACGTTCTTCCACTAAGATATGTGCGAAGATTCCTAAAAAAACTGAGTCCTGCAAAAAGCGCGGCTCCCCCCCCCCCCCCCCCCCCCTTTTACTGTGCCATCCCGTCAGCATAAAAAAACATGGCAGCGCCCGTAGAACAGGGCAGATACTGGTTATACACCAACTCATGTTTACAAACAAACCGGAGCGCCCCTAGCGGACGCCACCGGTGCCGCGCATGCGCGGTGGATGGTGGGCAAGAAGCCCGCCGTCGCCCATAAACAAACCATTGAATTGCGTTGTTGTCGGCGTCGGTGGGAGTCCCCGTGCTCTTTTTCGCGTTGGAATTGTTGATGCTACGTCCTCCTAACAATGTCTGACTACTTGAGCGGCTTCAGCAAAACTAACGAGGCAAAACTTTGCGTGAATAATGTGACGTGCGCCGATTCATTTCACGTGGACGCCGCAGAATGGGCGCTAAAGCCTGACTCCCACGATGAGATTCTGCTCGCTTCTCTCAGACGCGACGTTGCTCGGGCTGCAAAAGCGTGGACCGTAGCTGAGATGGTGGACGTCGATACTGAGAACCGCAAGTAGAATCGGGCATTACAAGTCGGTGATGCCACTAGTAACAATAATGATAAACATCTTCTTGTATCTGTTTACACTTAGCCTACTTACCCCAACCAACCTTCAAAAGTGTTTTGAGGCCTGCACTTAGTTCTTATCGCAATTACCGGGTCAACATTTGGTTTCCGGGCCGCTGTCGTTTGAACGAGCTGACGACAAAAAGCAGCCAAGTTTGAAAGAGCAGACGACAGTTCGAACGCATCCGTAATGGGGTACGGGCAAGAATCAACAAACCACTCGAATGTCACGTTGTCGGCGTCTGTGTGAGTCTGCCTACTCTTTTTCGCGTTTTGTCGATTCTACGTCCTCATCGCAATGTCTTACCACTTTAATCGCTTAAGCGAAATTATCAAGGCTCGTTACGTCGCTAAACTTTCCCTAAATAATTTGACGTGCGGCGATTCATTCGCATGAACGCCGCAGAATGGACGCCAAAACCATGATGAGATTCTTCCAGCTATTTTCGGTAGCGACGTCGCTCGTGTTACAAAAGTGTAGAAGGTAGCTGCGATGATCGACGTCGATACCGAAAATCGGAAGCGGGAACAGACCAAGCGTAACAAGTCGGTGATGACCACCGGTACCAATGATCAGCACCTTGTATCTACTTTTTACACCGAGCCTACTTAAAGGGACCATGAAATGATTTTAAAATCGAGTTTCATCCACCGCACGTCGTAAAAGGTGTGAAAAGAAACACAAAAACACAAAAATAGGGAGCCCAAAAAAATTATTTGCTATAGAACTTTTAAAAGAAAACTGGACTCTTTTGCGCCTTCCTTCCTTCGCCTGTTCACTACGATGCATACGCAGAATCGGTGCACGTCAGCCGAATCCACATCGCCTATTGGGTAAGAGCCTACCTCACCAGCACCGCGATCGTAAACAATAAATAGCCGGCGAATGTTTCCTAAAAGTTTTGTTAAATAATATTCAGATCCACATTTTGTAGCATAATTAGAGATGTGTGGCGAAAATTGCCAAATTTGATAATGCTGAGAGCCAAGCGCCATCTATCGTGTGGTAAACGAAGCAACTACTGCGCGTGCGCAGTAGGGCAGGGCCGCCAGTTACTTGGGTGACGGCGACCGACGAACATTTATTTTCTTTGTTTTCCTTCCTCTCAAAACTCTGACTGACTGAACGTTTATTTTTCTACGTGTTCTTCCCGCGCGTGCCGACTTCAAGCAGCAAGAAAACAGTACTTAAAACAGACCACGACGAACAAGAACGCTGGATTCACCGACTCCGACGAAGCGTATAGGCCTAGCAGGCATTCCGACTCGGCGCTGCGTTGCTTCGTCGCAAGACCGTCTGCCTACGACCGGCTGGCGTGCTAAATGGAATATGCCCGCGCGACCCTTGTGGACCCTTCCCGTATTATAGTTTGATCACTGACCTCAATTCTAGATTAAGAGGTGAGGAGGTCAATCTCTTCCCCTTGTTTTCCGAGGCAGCGTTGACGAACACTCGTCGAAAAGGGACTCTCGTCGATTCTATCTTCTTGTTTTGTGTGATATAGAGCTGAAATAAACGCCGTATGGATTGCCTTCGTAACACGGTATGTACACTTTGTTATTGGTATGCCATTTTTATTCTGACAGACTGCACGTCACTGTCGACCCCGATCCAACCTTTCTTTGCCGAGTGTCGCGTCAGTATCGAGTTGGAATCGTAAAAGAACGGTCCCGAAGCGCTTACCAACAGCGCGAATACAAGACTTCCATCAAGCGCGCGCGTCCGCTCCGAGTGTAAACAGGTATTTACGTGGCTCTTGCTGACACTCGTAGTTCAAACGTATCTTTTTTAACGTCGGCTCGCTCCTGCATCTCTGAGGCCGCGAAAAACGCCATCTACGTCGCTTTGCAAACGACTGACACGGGCCGGCCCTTCTGCCAACAATGACGGGGTGGTGACAAGACTCGCTGCACTTCCCAACAGGCATACCGGCGTATGGGACTAGTCCCATGCTGTCGCTGTAGCGCAACATATCTCATTGAATTTCGCTCAGCTGCGATGCGGCGATGAGAGGCGCCGATACAGAAAATACGTCGGTGACATCAGCGCAGTAAAACCTACCGGCGCACCCCAACTCGTTGCCGCTAACACTCCCATTCTCCTACTGCCGAGAGAACTTCCGGTTCCGGAAACGGTCTACGTCACGGCTTCTTTTGCGGTCAGTTGGAGAGAATGAAAAAGTCGATATTTCAATAATTTTTTGTGTAAAAGTTAATAAACCGAGACGAAAACGGATGCCTGTTCGGCATTCAGTGAACATTGACGGTTAAATGTAAAAGTTATCTGGAAAAAGTAAAAAGGTCATTTCATGGTCCCTTTAAGTCTTTTGAGGTCTGCAATTACTTCTTATTGCAATCACCGGGTCAAAGTTTGGTCCACGGGCCGCTTTTGTTTGAACGAGCAGACGACAAAAAGCAGACGTTTGA